GAGTGGTGAAGTGCCTGAGCCTTGGGCGTGCCGTTGCGATCTACTGCGCTTTTGTTGTGTGAGCGTGACCTGGTGTTTGGCGTCCGCCGTTGGCGAAAGAGCCATCGAGATGCCGAAGACACCATTCTCGGATGACGCGTCTTGTTGGTCAGCGCCGTTGATCAACTGGCTTCCCAGTATTACTGAGAGTGCCGCAAGTTCGGCAGCTGAGACCTTGACGCTCAACCTTCCATCCTCATACTTTGCAGTTTGACCATCTTTCACCCAAGCCCGCTGTATAGCCTTCGGGTCGTCGTCTCGCAGTCCATTGTGCATCGATACCAAGGCAGACGCCGGCTTCTTCACGGATAAGCCCCTAGCCAAACCCATCTCAACCACCGATAAATCTAAGCTCTTCCTCGCAGTCTTTGGGCTAGGGTCCGCTCGCCGAACGTTGGACATCGACTTTGACCGCCCCACGCCGCTCGCAGGCTTCTTTGCTCGAGCAAGGAACTTCGTCATGTCTCCGGGGTATGACGATCGCTCTGAGATTGGTCTGTTTCGCAATTCGTTCGCGAACGCATCGTACAAGGTTTCGAGTGGTACTTGTCCGGGATGTCCTTGGAGGTTGGTAAACAATGCGGAGGAAAACAAGCCCTCATCGCCAGCCTTGATGATGCCCGACAATGTTGGCACCCAATGTCCTTTGCTAAGACTTTGCTTTGGGGTCAAAAATCTCTTCCACGAGCTGGAAATGTGCGTGAGTTGAACCTGCCGCTCAGTCTTGCCGTCCGTAGTGAACATTTCGTCTGTTGTTGTAGTCTTGGGCTGCTTGTGCAGGAGGAAGCGTGTAACGAGTGCCATGGCAGCGACAAAGCAGAGTCCAAGTACGACGCTCGCTGCGACTATTTCTTTCGTGTGCATTCTAGATTTGGCGGGTGTTGTCTCTTATACAAAATGTCGCTTGTTGTTAGTAGGCCGTTAGACCCTGGCAGGTCTGACAGGAGGTAACCTTGTCGCCCAATCGGAATGCAGGGAAGCTGCCACTAATCCCTGGGTCGCTGTCTCGGACATGCTGGCAGCCGCTTCCTTCGTGAAGACGGTGCGAGGCGGCCAGGAGTCATCCATCATTCGTCAGCGCATCGTGCTGTCCCGTGGTTCGCTTCATTTGTCAGATAGTCATCGAAGCGGTCCTCTTTCTGCAGAGACAGCACGCTTACCGTCAAGTCCAAGAGCGAGCACGTGTATCGCGGGTACTGTAAGCTTCAGGAATGCCTGTAATAGCCACGTCTGGATGTTTGCATATCCAAAACAACGTGCGCTTTTGGCTACTGTCTCAAACAGTCTGGCAGCCAGACCTGTGAGATCAGAACATGATTTCCAACGATGCAGATCCTGATATCCACGCGACCCCACACGTCAAATCAGAGTTTGGCTTCACGGTTGCAACTGTTTCTGCCCTACAGGATCATCGTGGCCAGCGGAGCGTCGGACAAGGAAGGGACGAAAAGAGGCTCGACGCACGGGCCCTCTATGATGGCATCCCCGCGAGGTTTGGGTTGGAGAAGCGCCGAAATCGCCAAAGCGAATTACCGTTTCCCAGGTTTCAATGCGATGTAAACAACCGTGCCTGATAGAAAAGGAGACTGGCATAGTTGCGACGTCATAAGAGGTCGGGATAAGATGGGAGCCGCGAAGCTTAGCAGGTGAGTTGCAACCCCTCAGATCCAGGGTGCGAAATGCTCCGCCGGCCCACATCGGTAGGCAGCGAAGATCTCCGAATACCACCAATAAAATTCAGTGCAAGGAACAGATTTTTTGTCCGCAACTGCGATCGTCTGTTCTCGAACTGCAGAACACATCGCGACCGGATCTTGCGGATGGTCGCGACCCGAGGCGCCCGGGAACTTCAGCTCGGCCTCTCGTGATGCGCGCGGAGGAGGAAAGCCAGAGGATTCGGCCAACCGCACATCACGCAACAAGAACTTCCTGGACGATTCGCTCAAACTCGGATATGCAGTGACTGACTGAACGGTGAGAGAACTAACCGGGGTTGGCGGCGTGGACAAGTGCGCTTCTACTCTGATTCATACGGCTTTCGGTGTTTACGGGAGCGCAACCATCTTCGTCAGCAGCCCGCTTCTGACTCTAGCTTAGATCGCTTTGCTATGAATGTTTATCACAAGAGATGGATGCACCGCTCGGCTTGAATTCCACACTCTTTAGGTGCAGATGTCGTCGCATTAGAGGCCTGTGGAATCCAGAGAGGTTCCAGGTGACTGCTTGGTGTTGCGACCTTGGCGATATGTTCCAATAAGCTCTTGTACCCTGAGGAGTTTCTTCTGAGATAGCAGGATGGGTATGGGATGGTTGAAGATCAAGATGACATGTGCGCGGACGGAAAACATAGTCAGACACTGTCGAACCCGGAACTTGCACGTCGTGCTATACGGGAGTCGCTGTGACAGGCCGGACAAGCGGGGCGAACGAGCTGCAGCAGCGCCAACGGTACATATCCAATATAGCACTCCAACCATACCATTCCACACGTTTGCGAGGTCGGTACGTTCTAGAGTCTGCATCAACTCTTCGCAGATGTGGGTTGTAAGTGAGATCTGGCTGCTATGTGGCTCAGCTCCGGTTTGAACACAAAACGGGTAGCGACTTGATGTTGCAGCAACAGAGAAAGGCAAGCAGCGTACGACAGAAGTCGTATAGATCGTGGCAGCGAGACGACACGCCTCATAGACCCAATCGCAGGAGTTTGGGTGATCTGAAGTGTAAGCCGAAGGTAGATTTGCTAATCGATCGCAAATTCCAGCCACTCTTGTCTTATAATCGACTTCGTTGGAGGGTGGATAGGCTAGATGAACGTCTTTAGCATCGCCAGCGGGCTCAAGTGCTATGTTTTGCGCCAGGAATAGGTCGGTCAAGTCGCGCATATCTCGAAGTAGGCCATATGTGGTAGATGAGCAACGCTCTTCGTTGAGAAGATTTCGGAACTCAGGCCCTGGGCAGAATAATGGGGATTCTGGTATTGCGACATCTGCGTTATCGTTGACCGATTCATACTTTGCAGGCTCACACAACGCAAAGGTCGGCAGGGGTTGGGCTTCGTAAATTAGGTCGCAGTGGAAACAACACCTGAAAGCATGATTAGTCTGCACTCTTCATCAGGAGGTCATGGAGCTTACGCAGTAGTAAATTGCGCGATCATCGCCCTACCGGTCTTTTCCAGGTCGCCGCACAGGAGTAACATTTGTTCGATGCCTCGTTCGTGACACCGGATCGTGGGCTCATCACAACTCCACATGTCGCCTCCCAGCAAGTGAAGCATCACCAGGAGGGTTGACACGGCGTGCTCCTGGGTGAACGACTGAAGCCGAAGCCTGATCATGATCAGGGTTTCATCCCTGACAAGCCTAGTCCTTGTACTTTCGCCTGGAATCTTTGCGAGCATATCGAGCCAAGTACATGTCACGGACCCGATACCACTGAGCATTACATGGGGATGAACATTCATTTCGGGTGCCCATGCCTTGACAAATGCTTCTGTCCCGAACGCCCGCATGACTGTAAGTGTCAGCCATTGAACCAGAGCATATGACGTGAAATTTCTGGAAAGTTTTGTACACCTACATGCACGCAAGATGAAACCGCTGTTCAAACTAGGATTCTCGAATTGGGGCAACACCTTGAAAGGGTCAAACCCGTCTCCGATTTGAGAGAAAGTGGTCGTGAATAACCGAATCTTGCGTTCTTCGTGGCTCTCAGTGTACTCGTATCCAACAACCTTTTGGAAGCTTCTACTCTGCCTTCGGCCTGAGCGAGTTGGCCGACAGCGTTCAAACGCAGCATCACGAGCCTCAGCACCGCTCGCTTCCTTTGGGGACCTCGTAGTCGGTACATGAGTTTGCTGATCATATTCATAAGGAACAAGCGCTCTCAGTGTTCTTTCTGGGGAAAGTGATTGAGCTTGAGTCGTCGTGAGCTCGACCTGCTCGCCGACTATTGGTTCAGTGTAAAGAGGTGGTACTATTTTGTGCTGTTCCCGAGGTGCTGCGTGGCTGTTGTTCATCTTGTTCCTATGATACCTCATCGCCTGCGAACGGACGCTTCGTCTTGTCTCCCCATCCTTGAATTGAGTAGGGTCTGTCGCGGTAAGGAAGCGAAGCTGAAAAGGTCCATCGAGCTTTCCACGGCGACGCGCCGCTCGCGTTGTGGCGCGAACGGTCTTTGGCCAAGCATTGTTTCCAGACTGGCGATTTGTGACAGCGGGTAAAGCGATATCAAGCTGAGGGCTCGCGATGTCACCTTTGCTGGTCGGGGTTATGCTGGAAGCCATGGATATTGGCGTGGTGTGGTGCCCCAGAACGCCAAGAGAAAGCGGGGTCTGGTTCAGCGCAGGAAGCAGCGACGATGCCACGCAACACACATCACATACGATGCCTCTATACCTGTGTACCTGCACGTTTGTCGCCAAAGAAGAACCGGCACTTTTATATAAGACTGGGGCCGGGGCTTGTATCAGCCGAGGCTGGCACGTCGGTGAGCCGCCCATGCAGGGCACTACATGCGTTCACGGGTAGTACGCCACCGCATCGCTTGCATCGGAGGACCACGCCGCGATACGATGGAGCAATGGGTGTACAGCCTCGCACTAGCCAAGACAATGGTGGCCTGACGACACTAGAGTTCCGACCAATCCAATGGATCAAGAGAGAAGCTTACAGGATCACCAACAATCTTTCAACACGCGCATTGGGACGTCAATAACTTAGCCAAGATCTTCCGCAGAGCCTTCCCAAAATCAATGAGCAACTGCCACAATATAACACCATCGCTCTGATCAGTAATCCGACTCTGGTCCGCTATCAATAGAGGCGAATCCTCCGCTATCGACTCAGCCGGATCCCAACGCCGTGCGACGACACCAGCTGGCCGGATCGTCTCGTTGCTATCAAACGACTCCACCATCCTGCGTCCATCAACGGATATATAATCGCAAGGCAGAATGGCTCCTAGATCTTCGTCAGGTTCTCAACTTTCCTCCCTCCGGTCCTGTACAACACACCTTCACGCCTCAGCTTCACTCGAGCTTCGTGCCACCGCTCCTCGTCGATCAAGCTCGGTGCATCGTACAAGCTTGGCGACAGCGAATTGGGGCTGAACGGCGAAGGTACGAACCGGCGCACGTGTTCCAAAGCTTGCGATGCGGTTTCGCCATTGTAGAACATGCGTCGCTTAACTTGCGGCGCGACGAAGCGACCATCTGGCAAGTCGTCCAGCAGGCGATACTGCTCTTCGATATTGAAATTGTCGAGGTCGTCGACATAATAGTCCGCGACGTAGCCGTGGGTAGTCATGGTGCTTCGGATCATGGCGTGAACGGTATATGCGTGGAATTTGAGAACTCACTCAGAGAGTCGAAGAAAAAGCCGTGGCTCATTAGCATCTTCCGATTGCGTATATTGAAGTAGAAATATCGACGATGCGCTTCCGTTGGTCCTCTGACGGCGTCAAACGGCACCCTGGCAAACCGCGCGCTGCGACGAACGGAAGACGAACGAGAGAAAGAAATGAGGACATGGTCTAAGTGCATCCGCAAACCTACGCGACTATTACCACCTTATACACAAAAAAAGCTAAACAGGTCTGCAGACTACATCAAGATAAGAACCTAGAAAGTAGATAACTTGAGGTTAACGTAGGCTCGAGGGTCGCACCTCCAGCGCGCTACCAATCCCCGCCCGCATCCCCCCGACTCTCCTCCCACACCTCACTAACCGCCGACTTATCTGGGTGCGACTGCATCCTCGGCATCCCAACCGATTCCGTCTCAATATAATACCCCCCTTCCTCCTTAAACTCAAGAAGGTACCTCCCATTAACAGGCCCAAATTGCTGGATTGACCGAATCTTGTTGAAAAGTGGCTTGGGTCTTTGGTGTGGGAATTCGCCTAGAGGGAGGCATGTCTGGTCAGAGACATTCGATAGCCATTTTTCGATTCGGGGTCGAATGGCTTTTGTTTTGTATGCGACGAGCGTGCGGAAGCTGTTTGCTTGTTCGAGGGGTTGGGTTGAGGTGGTTTGCTGGCTATTGGAGGTTGTTTCGGAGCTGGTTTCTGACTGCATCTTGGGGTTTGAGGAGTACAGGGGGTTTGCGCGGCGTGTGTGGTGTGGTGTTCAGATATGTCTGGCTGCTACAGAGGTTTGTAGTAGTGTACGCGATGCTGTGCGCGGCCTTTGTATGCTCTTGGAAGCGCTGAACGTATTCGGTTTAGACTTGGTGAAGTCTTTGTATGCTCTTGGAGGTGCTGAACGTATTCAGTTTGGATCTGGTGAAGTCTTTGTCGTTGTGGGAAGGATTTTGGTGTCTGAGGATGCAGCAGGCAGAAAAGACCATATTTATGAAATTCCTGACTCTTATTCTTCGGTTACCACGTGGTTCACTACCAACCCACCCACACCACTTGAGCCACTCACAATTTCCCCAAAGCTTTAAACGCGAGCCGAATTTCCTTCCTATAGTAATCTTCCGCAACATAATACCTTTCCCCTCTCAAGATCTCCTTCACTCGCTTAGGCTTTGCCCGTAACTCAACACGCCTTTCTACTGCCTCGTATTTCTCATCTTTCGCTCTGTCTGCGCCAGAGCTATCGGTGACGATAGCTACGATCTTGATCACTGCAACTTTATCCGGGAATGTGATTTCTTCCGCCTCAATACCGATTTGAGTGTTTAGGAGGATGTCTGCGCCGGAGTACTCGATCACGCCGGGCGCAGATGTGAAGTAGTTGCCGATGCAGCTGCCGAAGTAGGATATAGCCTTGTTCAAGAGGACAGAGAGACGGCGCTGAGGTACCGGGGGTGATTCCGCATACGTTGGCGAGGAAGAGCTGTTCGCTGCTTCCCGCATCGGCGCTGAGTCCAGATGGAACTCAGATGGGTCGGCAAGGTCTGCGAGGGAACTCGGACTGGATGACGGCAGTGCAACCCAGGGTGCGCGTTCGTGCCATATACCTTCATCAATATCTGCGCCCGCATCTCCACTAGTCTCAAGATTTTCCATGTCGTATGATGGTGTGCGATCGTTGTCTTTAGCCTCCACGGCATGAAGTGGTGATGCGGTGACGGCATCGGAATACGGCGTGATAGCGTCTTTGTCCGTCATCAAGTCGATCAAGTGTTGTGTGCGATCCATGGATGGTGATTGTATGGAAAGCGCGCCCATTCTTGACTGTGCCTCGAGGTCTATGACTGGCTGCTCCTTTGGCGGTGACTGGTCCGCTTCATCCATGGTTGAGATGGCTGAGCGCCGATGAAACGCGGCTCATGCGTCTGGAAAAAGCTCGAGGAAGCCGCGCTATGGCGTTGTAGGGCTATACTGTGCAGTCGTAAGTGTAGTGAATGAGACTCGATGGAAGTTAATCTCGAACTTCTAAGAGTGAAGAGCGCACATGAAGAAAGCGGTGGCCTTGAATGAAGTCAGGATGTGAGCGATGAGCGGTGAATGTCTCATAGCTAGGGACACACCGGGAGTGTACACACCCAATCCCAGCTATCCGATTGCCGTGACAGATGCGTCAAAATACCTATTCCCGAGCCGACATACATACCATTGCTGAATTGCTGGCAGACAGTGACATGTACACCATACTCACCCGCCCATTCATACCTAGGTAGTGGTCGATAAATAAGCCTCGGAATCCCTTTCTGCCAAATGTCTCAACCGCTACAATTACATCTTACCACACAATCATGTCAGACTCCTCAGAAAATCCAGATACGCCCAAGAAAGCATGTCTTCATAATCCTCGATTACAGATCCCTCGCCCCGTGTTCCAACGCGAGACCACCGCCGTTGATCCCTCGGAATGGCAAGCTTACACACCAAAGACTTCGCATGGGTTTATAGCGATGCATACCTCGACACCCGAGGACATGCATGAGAACAGGGGTAATGGAAAGCGTACAGCAGTCAGCGATTACTTCTCAGTGCCAAAGCAGAAGCACAATCCTATCCTTTCTCCTAACCCTGCGCCGTATGAACCGCATGGTTTCCTGCCACTTTGTTCCGTTGCGGCCGTTGAAGTCGACGCGACCAATTACTTCGGGCTCTCAGACAGGACTATCCAAAGTACTGTCGAGAAAAGCTGCCATGTTCCGGATACGGCCAAGGACCACGAGTGCGATAATGCTCTGCATACGAGCCGGCGCTCGCTGGGCGAGGTTGCGCATCCATCAGTAGAGCAGCATAACGAGCGCAATGTCGTGCCGAAACCAGAAGAAGAACAGGGTATTCAAAAAGAGCCCGAGATAAAATTGCGCGGTGGCAGTGGCGAAGAGCCTTGCGACGGAGACAAAGAGACGGTCGATCGTTCGCCCGCAGGCGACTTGCCCGACCCGAGACACCATCGGCGAACAGTCGAAGCTAATCCACCGCTCGCTTCATCGCCCATCGACATGGATCAAAAGGATCATACCGAAGAACAGCATACTATTTCGGCGCTCAATAGAGCGCTCGAACAGATGTTACAAGAAGTCGCAACCGTTTGTAACCTGGCATTAGACATGCACGTGGCCACCAACGTTCCTTCCAGCACAGAAGACACGCTCGACAACACTGCGGAACGTGACGATGCTGAAACGACATCGCAGCAGCCAACAGATCGATCCGATGCTTCTGGAAGCGCTCATGCGGCATGACTACATGATAGTCCAGAATACGACGAGATCAAGACGGTATCCACCGAGATGAGCGCTGCGAACATGGACGAGACCACTCTCCCAGAAACTCAGAAAGCTTCTCCAGTAATCCGACGAAAGCTCAGAAAGAACTGGAAGAGGCTGGCGCCGCTCGAAGGTCACACCGGAAGACTCTTTGACACGATGCAGCGTACAGACAACAGAACGCTAATCGCATTGAAGTCCGGGTTCACAGTCGACATCGTGAATGCCGATACCAAGAAAGTATACGTCCGCAACGTTCCGCTTCGCATGCTATGGCATTTCTGCGGCGCCTCGGTCCTCGATCGCTTCATAGCAGACCGGGACGGGCGCCCAGACCTGTTGAAGATACCCGTGGAAGAAGCCGAGAAATCTGGAGTCGCAAGAGTAATGCGATACATGCGTCGCGCGTGCAAAGCAGCCAGCGTACGGCCCACGGGTGAGCTGCGCGTACCACCCAGTCTGGCCGACGGTATCGAGACCATCCGCGCATGCCGTGTGTTCGGGCTGCACGCAGATGCCGACCGGCTCGAAGATGTGATGATCGATGAGTGGATAGGCAACGAAGCTTGGTATATGACCGACGAGCATGTCGAGCTGATCTGGGATGGGTATTACGGTAGTCTTCGCGACACCGTTTTCGGGGATGTGATAGTCTGGTTTGTATTAACAGAAGTGCAGGATAAGTCGCATCCTCTCGCTGAGGAGATACGGTGGATGCTGGAGCAAGACGAGTACGAGACTTTGAAGGCAAGGGTTACGGAGGAGGTACAAAGGAAGATGTGGAGACTGGAGGATCATGATCAGTTCTTGGGGAGATGCAGTTGGGAGAGGGCGGAGCGGATGCGCAAGGAGGAGGAGCGTACTGATCCTCGTGCGCGAGGTTATCATCGACAACCACTCCCGATGTCCGACGCTGAGCAGAACACTTTTCATCATGGAACCAGCGCGAAAGCTCTTGGCATTGAGATGATGCAAGCGGGATTGTGGGATGGCGGGGGCATAGGGGTCCTTCCAGATGTTCCATTCCAATCTCCTGAGCTGCCGAGGGCTGGAGCTGATACACCTGTTCCGCATTCGCTTGGTCGGTATTGATGTGAATCTTGCCATCACGACCAGACCCTGACTTTGAGTCTCGTCGGTGGTTTCATTCTTTTTGTTCGACCGATGTAGTTTCGTAGCTAGTATCATTATGCTCATGTTACCTCTTCAAAGCCAGCTACTGGGATTGTGCGATCGTGAGAAGGTGCGATCAAAGAGATGTCCTCTACATTTTGAGAGGCAGACTAATATGAGAAGAAGAGAGAAGTCACTGCGCGTGTGGCAGCGCAGTCACCGTGATCTCGAGAGGGTCGAGCTAATGTTTGCAGCCGCGGGAAACGTTCTATGGGGGTATATTTGTTAACAAATGCCGACGCCTCAGAGCCTTTGACAGGTCATGTAAAATCGTAGACAACCAACGCCTGACTGCCCTCGCTCTTCTCTCTCAGCACTATGACGTTCTGTTCGTCGAAGCCGACCCAACCACGACTGACGGAAGAGTCGTCAAAGCCCTGGTCTAGCGCAAACCGCAAGCCCACTTGCTGCCCTGAATCGTCGTCCTGGATGTACTCTTCACTGGCTTTGGATGGCTGTACGCGAACGCTGAGTTGTCCGTTTCTTGAGCGCTTGCGGTTCGCGGAGGAGTTCATGCCGCCCTCTAGATCCCATACCCGTAGCTCGTCCCCTCGTCTGCTCACGGACACAGCCTTGCCGCGCATGCCAACATGGGCGCCAGATATTGAAGACGTGTGGCCCCAGAGGCGGTTGCCGGAGCTGATCGATAGTGCTTGTGATGTCGATCGGACGAGGTATAGCGATAGTGTGTTATCGGGATGCGCGACGAGAAGATACGGATGGGAGTACGACATGGAGGTAGGTTTCGATCTGCTCGGCCCGCTCGGTGCTAGGGCTTCATCGGCGCGATCTGGTAAAGGTGACGACGAGCGTGCTGACGAAGAGGCCGCGCGGTACGTAGAGAGCGTGAATGAGTGTTCATCCGCCGCAGTAGCCAACCGTGACTCGATCAGGTCGCCTTTGTGTGAGAGTATGAGCTCCTGCACACCAACAGTCCAGCCGGACAAGTACGTCGGCAGGGAGTATGCGATCGCGGCGGTCATGGTATGTGCTGTTGTGCGCAGCGATAACGAGACAGGTGGCCATGCAGTGTTCGATCGTAGGGAGTATAGCAGCTTCGGTGCCTCCAACAGCCCGAATGTGCCAGGTACCTCTTCGAAAGCGTATAACGAGAGGAGGTGGTCTTCGGTCATCGTGAGGAGATACGGCGATGAGTATGCGAGAGCCGACAGCATTCCGTTTGTTGATGGCGGATGAGTGAACACATTCGTGAACTTGTTGGGATTCGTCCTAAGTTCGTAAATGGAGAACGAGCCGTCTTCGAAGCCTATGACAACTCGTTCCGTGCCATCGTCCGTATTCGAGGCATCAATGGCCATGGATATCGGTAATCGCGCCATATCTGTTTCACCAGATAGTTCCGTGGATGCCAGCAGTTCCCTATCATTCTTGGAATTCCATGCTCGCAAGCCTGACATGGAGTCGGCGGCATAGATGATGCTGTTAGACATCATGACAAGTAGCGGTGGGTCTGGAGGCCTTTCAGCGACCACAATCTCACTGACGGCGCATTGTCCCTGGGTCCAGTTATGCCGCAACCGATATTGCTGCTTCCAGTTCGTTTGTGTTCCATCTTTGACTAAGTAGCCGTCTTCTAGCCATTTCGATAGCCGCGAGGAGTAGTGTAGCCGGTTCGGGTTGGCAGGGCCTCTGATGCCTGGTATGCGCGACGCTCGAGGAAGGACGAATGTGCGGTAGTAGGCGGCTTTCCATAATTCCGAATCGATCGAAAGGCGACTGAACTTCTTTGACACCCTGTAACAGTCAGCGAATGTCGCAATGTAGCGAAGATGACGTTACGTACCTTTGGCATACTAAGAGCGAGGGTACGGGCACGAAAGACAGTATCCGCACAAGCAGCTCCTCGCTCAATCGAGAGAGTTTGTCGTGATGTAGAAGCCGCTGTACTTTGGCTGGATGCTCGCCGTCATCATCGCCATCGTATGCGCGCTTCATAATACCGGGCTATGGCTGTCGTGTCGGCGGCGAATGCGCCTCGGGATGTCGGAATGGCACCATGTCTTATCGCTATCGCAGAGTGTCTGTGCGTACGCGTGACTGCGCGCTCCACTAGCGCGTATCTTTCGTAGTTGCCGCCTAATGCTGCAACCAATTCAGGACACACGCGAACATCGAGTCATCTCTTGTCACACCTGTCGTTTTCATGCCTTGTCGGACTGCTCCAATATGGCGGAGTTTTCAGCCTGGGTAGAGCAGAACAAAGGGCTCTGGACGCGCGTATACGATGAGGTCATTAAGCCTGACCTCGAGAAGGAATGGAAGACGAGTACGTATGGTCAATGAACGCGTCGATCTTTGCTAAGAATGAATCAGAAGAAGAGAAACATCAGAAGGAGCTAGATCAAAGTACGCGTTTTGTCTAATTCATTGAGTTACATACTGACCTGCTGCAGAGGAGGAGAACCAACAGATACTGTTCCAACATCTGAATGACGAGATTCTGAAATCAGCGCGTCTTGCCAAGGAGAACGAGCACCTGAAAGAACAGCTCGAAACTAGGGGGCCAGTCGACCAGCATGTCTCTGAATTTGATGCACAAAGTGCGTCCGAGGATTATCGCCACCTTACTACCGAGAATGAGCAGTTGAAGCAACGACTCGCGGCTCTACAGGAGGCCGCTGCACCATTACCAGATCACGGGGTTGCAAACGAGGCTACCGAAGAAGAGTATCACGACCTTGCTGCCCGGTTTAGCGACTTGACTAAGAAGTACCGGGACATGTCTCAACAAGTGAAGTATCTCCAGAAGAAGAATACAAACGTCATGCAAAAGAACAGGGACATGAAAGAGAGCGTGCGCGCATGGCAAGAGTACGCAGATCGGCAAGCAGTGAAACAAAAGTCGAAGAGCGAGGCCGACAAGTCACATATGGCAACGGCTCACCTTCTTCCCGAGGAACGGCCTCATATGCCTTCCAGTCCAGTTTCATTGGCCACTGTGCGAACTCCCGGATCCATCGCTAATCCGGGCCGCTCCTCTCCTGCTCCTATGGCCCCGCTTCCGCGTTCAGTTCTTGGGATAACGAGTCGGTTGGCGTCTCCGACCACGGTCAGCGGCGAGGAAGCCCGGAGTCCCACCACGACCGTCACTTCAAAGGCCAGCACCAGGTCAGGGAACGTTCAGCTACAACAGCATCAAGAACACAATGGCGGTGTCTCTTCACACGTCCAGCGCATAATCTCAGAGGCAGAAGGCCATCATTCAGCGATTCCAAGCTCCAGTCAAACAACAGTGGATGAGCAGGTCGAACCGAGGAGCATTTTTGAACAAGCTACGGAAGCTGAAGATGACGACGACTTCCCCGAATTCGTTTCCGAGAGGTCGCTAAAACGAAAACGAGGGCAGCCGTCGAAGTCCAGATTCGAGATATACGCAGATCACTCCTCAGATGGCACGCCAATAAAGCCCCATCGCGTGAAAGAAGAGCCTCACAGTAGTCCTCCGCTCCCTGCCTTCAACATGACTCGCAACGAGACGATGGATCTGGACGATCCTGCGCCCCATGGGATCAAGACTCCTCGTCAACCCCGGACACGTATATTTCATGACACAGATCCCGTGGAAACGCCTCATCAGCAGAGGCGTAACAGCGCGCCACTTACGCAGGCCGTTAAGAACGAGAACCTGGATGATACTGATCTGCATGATATGTATGATCAGATGCTCGAGCCTCAAGCAGTCGCGAGCATCGAATCGCGAGCCTTTAGTGAGCCGAATGAACCCACGCAAGCAGGAGACGCTGTGTTGAGATCCCTCGATCCCAACGTGGTCAGCAGTGCGTCTGAAGAGCCTCCTATGAAACGTTCACGACAATTCCAAGAGTATCAACAAGACAAACATTCTTTCCTCGCAGAGTCAGGCGAAGCACTACCTGCGAATAAACGTAAGTCGAGGCTGCCGCCCCACCTTGCTCGAGCCCAGATGAACCAAAGATTGCAAGCATTGAAGACGCCTCAAACGCCAGGAAAGGCATCACCGAAGACCCCAAAGTCAGGATCGGTAAAGATCAAGACCGAGCAAAACCCAACCCCTCCCGCAAGTTCCTCAAGTACTACCGAGACACGTTCCGTCAGTAAGGGTGCGCGCAGCGCAAAGTCAAAGACCCGCGTGAGCCCTCGTGAAGATCCGACACCTGACGGCCCTATATGGACCATGAGAGCTCCCGAGACCCGCTCTAGTGCTCGCAGAAGTCGTGCATCACCATTGAAAGATCAGGTTCGCCTCCGAGATAAGCCGGTCGGCGAGCTCAGCGTCAAGGACTTCAAGCCAAACCCTGAATACAACCAAGGCTTCAGCTACGCATTTTCCGAGACTGTTCGCAAGCGAGGAGATCGCATGTGTCTTCCAGGCTGCACTAACCCGCAATGTTGTGGCTCCACTTTTCGAGCTTTTGCGGAGGCACAAGGACCTCTCAGCCCCTCGGAAGAAGAGGCTTTGCTCGAGGACTATCTGGGCGATGCATACAGCAACATGCAGCTCACGCAGATGTCATCCGAAGAGCGGCAAGAGCTTGTTCTGCAAGCTCGGACGAAGAAGATGGCGAAAGAGTCCGGGAAGCATCGCGAAGCCTACGAGCGACGACGAACACCGCCAGGGTTCTGGCGAGTGGACTTTCCGACGACACAGGAACAGCAGGAAGACAGGGAACGTGCAAAGGAACAAGAGAAGGCGATAGTACAAGAGCGCTGGTTGGATGCACACAGGAGAGGTGGGAAGTGGATCTTTAGAGATGAGTAGGTCGTTAATAAGACGCGTTGTGAGTGGATGTGAGAAGGCTCTGCGCTATGAGTTCCGTGGTTGAGGACCAACGCAACCAGAGGTGTTGCAAGCACCATAGTATTATAAAAATTACTATCCATGGGTAGGGAGAGCCGCAGAATGCAGTTATTTCAAGCATTGTGAGTATAAAACCCATCCCATCCCTGAACTATCTTCCTACTCCAAACCAACTCTTCACGACTTTCACCTCGGGTCCAAACCAACTCTTCAAGTCTTTCACCCACCCCACCACAATCCACCCCACCAAAACTCTCCCACCCACCAAGAGACCAAGACAAATGCTCCTCATATCCATCACAATGAGCCTCCCAACACGCTCGCACTTCCTCGCCCACAACATCACCCCCACCACCCCCTCTCCCTCTCCCTCCCCCTCTGACGACGACACCTCCTGCGCAATCTGCAAAGAAGACTACAACACCACCACCGGCCACCCCGCAGTCTCCTTCTCCAACACCACAAGCTGCAACCACATCTTCTGCGAACCCTGCATCGTTGCGTGGTTGAGCGCTAAAGGGACAAATACCTGTCCCTTGTGCAGACAAGAGCTTTTTGTTTTGGATGACGGGGAGGGAGGGGTGGAGTATGAGGGGGGTGTTGAGTTTGGGGGGTTTGGTGAGGAAGAGGAGGAGGATGATGGGGATGTTGAGTATTTTTTTGCGGGGGGAGGGGTGTGGGATGGGGAGGAAGGAGAGGATGAGGATGAGGAAGAGGAAGATGATTTTCCATTTGAAGAGGAAGATGAATTCGAAAATGGAGATGGATTAGAAGACATCCCACTAACCTACCTCTACCGCAACACCCTCCTCCCCCTCCAAACCACCCCCTTGGAGACACACCAACTCCACCAAACAATCTGGCATAAAATCTGGAACCTATCATCTACATACCGCACCGCAGTCACACAAGCGGTCGAGCAAGCGAAGCGGGATGAAAAGCCGCTTCCCAATTGGGACCATGCCAGTTTCAGCAGGCACCTCCCCACAACAACTACTATGGTGGCGTCTCTTGTTGAAGCTGTCAGAGCTCATACGGGCACAGATCTCTCGGGGAGGCTGACAGCGGAGATGCTGGGGAGGTTGGAGGGGGTGTTGAAGATTGCTTTGGAGGAGATGCTTGAGCGGACGAACGAGGCGGGTGGATGGGAGGATGAGATGCTTGTGCCGGACTTTGAGGGGGGGTGGAAGGCTGAGTGGTGTAGAGAGAGGTTGTGTTTGCTTTTGGGGTTGGCGTCGCCGCGTGAGACGGCGGTGGAATAGGTATTCCGGGGTGTGTAGTGTATACTCCAGCATACCTTTTCGTACTCAAACTTGTGATTGAAACGCTGCTATGTAGACTGTGGCCTCTGTGATACGACTTAGTGTGTAAAAGAGTGTACGATTTGTATACACTAGCCTTAGCTATGTTTCTTACACTAACAAAGAACGAGCTTATTGTAGTCATTACATACACAGTCTCGCGACGATAAGGACGTGGAGAAAGTACGATACTTGCGGGGTATGACAGACTCTTGTTAGTTCTGGGGATTGCCTATAATCTGATTTTTGCTAGCTTTTGACTATCTAGTTGGTGTTCTCGGGGAAGAGATGATGATAACAAACAGCTACTGTGACTGTGGTAGACAATTACGGTACAAGGCCGGTCTCGTCATGGTATTCGGAGGCGGAGTCAGCTTGAAGTTACACGTGTAGGTTGAAGTCAGTTCCGTTCCACCACCTAGGCTGCCACGTGGCAGCTTACCCTGATCCCCCTCTCGATCACCGTGGTTCTCCGATATACCTGTCCTGTCATCCCCCTATTCGGAGTTCCGATCACAGCTCCTCCAGATCCTCATCCCCCATGTCGAGGGCGGGGAAATCGCCGGCCTCGCAGCGTTCAGGTCGCACAAAGACGCCGTAATTGCTGCCGCACTCAAAGTATCGCTTGCCCTTGACGCTGCCATCGTTCTTGCCTGTCGGTTCGTCGAGGGTGACGCCGATCCAGACGCCTATACCCGGTATCTCAGGGACAAGGCCAATATAGGAGATGGTTCCCCGACGCGCATCTGACTCGGGTAGGAGGCGAACACGACCGTTTACAGAAAGGCCTAATAAGGGTTTTGCGTTAGTTGAATCGATTCGCTTCGCAAGTATACATGCGGTAAAGGAGACCAAAGTGTAAGTATGAATGCAGCCAGGATAATCGTACGAGATCAGCTCCGTTCGCTGTTCAGTGGAGCCCAACCTATCGAACCCTCGTATCCGTCCATGGTTTGGGCGAAGACAGGAGGTATACGCGAAAGCGAGCAAAAGAAGCAAACATGTGCCCAGGCGGAACGGAACAGGTAAGTGGACAACAACGTCCCGACGGCCGGGCGGGCAGTTTGGCAACTAGCATCGCGCATGCGCGGAAACCCAAGATCATTGCACGCCTAATCGGTCTCTCATGCACACCGATCACATTTTACTCGAGATGTGGTGGCGACAGCGAGGCTCAAGCGGGGAAGGCGGCCTGATTGTTCGAGACAGATGCAGGCGCTGCCCAATGCAATGCTATAGCGAGGCAGTGATGCGCGAATATCGAGACGTGGTGCGGCGTTGGATCCATCAACACAAATCTCCAACACATCCTTCGGGGATAATGGCATTCAGCGGAGTAAACGATGCGTAACGTGCTGATGTGTTTTGGAAAGCAAGGAAAAATGCGGGCCGCACCATCCGAGGATCTGGTGCCCTAAACCACCCTGACGATCTCGCTCGGGCGAGCAGGAAGAGGGAGATTTCAGGAAATGGACCATGTCGTAGTCGAAGTGTATTACCGAGAGACTTGGTCGACGAATGAAGCTGGAGAATGGGGAGAATAATGAGGCTGGGTGGCAAGGAAGGCGTCGATCGCTTATTTTGAGAATTGAGTTTAGGGTTTCGGCGACTTGCACCCTTTGCCGCTGCCCGGTCCCTGCCAGAAACGGGTAACCTAGCGGAGCGACGACAGTCGTTGGAGGACGGCAACACTCGAAGCGATTTCCGAGTGTTAATCGGTTTACTATGGCATTTTGCCTAACGGATGTGCTTCCAGCGCTATACGCTCGGCTGTGGAGGTCTGGGCCAAGGGTTGGATGCAGGGGGCCGAAAAGGGTAGTCGTGTATGACGGGTTTGGTCAGAGGATACTCGATATGCGAGATTGCCTTGCCTGTCGCTCAGATGTCCTTGTCGGAGGGTAATGACAGGCTGAGACATAGTGAATCCTGTTATGATGAGGCGGCAACCTTGGAGGTATGCAGCAGTCCGGTTTGGGAAGAGTTTGAAGCATCTCCGGTTTGCACGTTGGAACGACATGGATGACTACAAGGCTGCAATGCGATGGTTGATGTCCGGGTTCCGGCGTTCGCTCTGCCGCGCAAACGTACGGCTCAACGGTGTGGGTGAAACATGCGGGAGATATACGGCTTACCTCGTTCCTCTACCTCCCGTTCTGAGGCGCGGATCTTTTGCTGCTCGATGCTGGGAGCATCGGGGTCAAAACGACCCAGCTTTTGCGCCTTCTTCCATGCAAGTACGCTGTCGGTCCGATGCTCATACTCAGCAGCGGGCATTTCGTACTTCTCAACGGACGACAGGTCGGTGAAGTCCGTCCTCGCACCCGGCGGACGAGTGTCGACGACCTAGACGTGGCTGTCAGCTCGGGAGCATGTTTGCGAGGATTCATTTGCTCGGGGATGTCAGTTGAGATTGCTCTAGCAAGGTGGCCGGTACAAGGGGTGATTCATGAGGCCATGTAAGGCATTGGAGTAGGGCCGAAGCGCCGAAAAAGAAATGGCAAGACAACAGCGAAAGGCTATCCGGTATTGCGAAAGTTTATGTTGTCGGTATTGAATGCCGAGTGCCAGCAGCGTCCCGGCGTGCCCAACGCTTGCAGACGATCTGGTAACTCAGATGAAACGAAGGATGGCTTCCGCGCGGATCGCGTGCCAAGGCGCAGCAATTGGGAAGAGAGGGGCAGTGCGGGGCATGCAAATATGCAGGCATGACCTGACTGGAGCGCGCAGCCTCAACGTCGGACCTGACAACGAATGGGGCAGTCGAGCAGAGCGACGCATGAAACTGCTAGGCGTGGGTGTAGAGTAGATACAAGGAAGTAGAGAGGCGAGCCGGGGTGGCAGAGATGTGGCAGCTCGCGAGAGGACGGCAGCGTCGACACAGCCAGGACAGGGCTGCGGCGCGCGTGCAATGAGAAAGCAGAAGAAGCACTTACGGTTATCTCCGCATACGGCTGCAGCGGGAAGGCAGCAAGACGCGTCTGTTCCTCGTCGGCGGCCGTGAGGGCAACGGCATCCTGAGAGCCCACGCGCAGCGACAGCTGTTGACTGCTGGCGGGCACACCGGTGATGGGCTCCAGGCGGGCCTTGAGCTGCGCAAGCGACCACGACGGCGATATACGGCGCTCTGAGGACGAATTGGGAGAGCTAATGAGAAGCGGCACGTCTGCCGCGCTCTGGAGTGACATGGCGAGCGAGGGGCAGAGCCGAGGTGCACTAGAGGGGTAATGTATGTATATAGAAGGACTCTGCGCTGTTGGTGGTGGTGATGGTGTACGGTTGACAGGTGACCCGCTCCGTATGCGGGATGGTTACGAGTGGTGTAGGGCCGAAGAAAAGCATTGGAGAGGGTTGCGCAGGGCCGTATCGAGTATCCTAAGCGATGCCAAGGCCGTGGTTGTCAACCACAGTGAATGTCTCAGGACACGGCGGACACGGCGAACCGCGACGAACGCCCACCACCCACGCACCCCACGCCTCGAACGATGTGAGATGCGTGGGACAGTATCTACCCACGCCGTGCGCTGGCATCGTTCGCGCGTGGGCGGTTATTTCTGATGATCTTCGTCGAGGGAAGGCCTGCTCCGGGTCGAGCTGCCTCATCCAACTAATGCAAAACCATGCGCTCGTCAGCCAAGACGTGGTGATTGCACTTGATCAGAT